GGAATTCCGTAGCGGAATCACTTTTCCCCTCACCCTCACGCATGGTGTTGTGACAGAAGATTATCCTCTCGCATAAGTAAGTAATTCCGGCACGGAATTCCGGGAATTGAGTCGAGACGGAATCGCACGGAATTGGACGGAATTTCCAGGAATTCCGCCCAATTCCGGAATTCCGTTCCGGAATTGGATCATCATTAGATTCATAAGAGATGATAGAATAATACTAGGTATAGCAATTCCGGAATTCCTAGTAATTCCTACCGATTCCGGTTTCATTCGATTCCGGAATTAGACGGCGCTGTGAGGAATTGCTGGTATTTTCTGGAATCGATTCCGGAATATCTAGAAACTGTTAGAATGGATTCCGGAATTGAATGTCGTGCAGCGTGGATGTGACTCCGGAATCGTTGGAATTGATTCCTGGGGCGGAACTGATTCCGCAATGTGCAACATCGCGGAATAGGATGACTGCTCACTGTTTTCTATTTTTGTCCATCGTTATACCTGCAGTAACATCGTCTGATGTTCGTTTTCGCTGTCTCTCATTTTTTTTCTTATATATGTGTGAGTACAAAAAGCATTGATCTTCCTCTCTTTTTTTATCCTTATGGCTGTCTGCGTAGTAGACTTTTTTCTCACTGTACGTAGATCATTAATCTTCTCGATTTGTTCTTTTTGTTCGTCATATACATGTCTGCATTAACATCCATAGACAAACTGCTTACCTGCTCATTTTATTTCTCCCATGAGCACAACCTATTAATACTCGTATAAAAACAGCAGGTTGTACTCTAAAAAAAGGGTACATTACTGAACCTTAAAAGTTTCGTATTTATGTATGGAATTTTCTTAGATTTTGTAAAGTAAAGATAGCTTTGCACTTTTTCTGAAAAACCTGTTTTTCAATTCAGAGAAATTCAATGCATTTACTAGCTTTCATACTAAACCATTTTCAGGTTCAGAACAATATCAAAGAGTTTCGCACTTTTCACACCAAACCATCGTTGCTCTCTAAGATAAAAAATGGTTTCGTATCTTGTGACGATTTTTGAATAAGAGAGTATTAGCGCAGATGTAATAAGGCTTTATTTTACTTCTTTCTATCATCAATTGTATGGTTAGCATGCAGAACACTCACTTATATACGCTTCTAGGAGAGACTAATACGGAGAGGTATTGCATAGAGAGAGGAACCATAAGAAAAAAAATACAACGATCTGTTTGAATTCAGTCTGAATATAAATTTTAAAAAAAGCGTTTCGATTCCAAACTGAAATAGGGGACTAGGAGGCCATTCCCATCTGTCTATCCTATATGAGGAAGGAGCTTAAGGTCTCTTATACTGAATTCATTTATAGATATATACCTCTCTATTTCATAAAGGATGGACCTTGATATCCTCAACTATGCTGAAGCATCTTCAAAGGTTGGGAAGGAAGGCTTGACTAAGGGTGGTCATAGATGGTAAATTCGAACCTGATCCTGGAGTTCATTAGCATTTATTGATATCTAATAATTTAATTCGTAATTTCCGCGCACTCTAAAAATTTCACAAACGATAATTCGAGGTGGAAAATCCAAATCTCATGTTAGATTTAGTTGACTACGTAATGATGAATGATTATTAATTTAGTTAATAATTTTTAATCCCTTCTGGAAAAGTTAAACAAAGCTAATCTGCCGGAAAATGTCGAGTTTGATTTGAGATATAATTCTTTAATTATAAATTATAAGCAATTTAACTAATAAATTATGCTTTCGAAAAAGCTTATTCAAAGGTAGTTTAGGATTGGAGGCTTGAATGTACTATAAGACTTTCAAAGTGGCGGAGTGTCACGGTGAGGATGAGGGTAAAATTGATGGTTAGGACTGAGATGACGATGACGGTGATGATGAAGATGAGGACGAGAGTGAAGGTAAGGATGGGCGTCAGCATTTCTAACAGCACGTGTAGATTACGCACGGTTGCCACTATACATGCTGTTTTATACTTTACTCAGGCAAGTGCTTGTATTACAGTATAAAACACCGTATTCAGTGGGCACACTGCTTAAGCTGTACATTTTCTTTATGCTCTGTACACTTGCTGTTAGAAATTTTGATGAGCGTGAGAGTGAGAATACGGAGTGAGGATGGCTGGCAGAGAATGATAGTGTGGATGAAGCCGAGAGTAACCTAGAGCGCTTTGTGAGAGAGGATTACCTAGGAGTGCAACAAATCTTGAATAGATTTGGGATTTGGCACCATATCTTTGAGATTTGGACTTGGATTTGGATTTGGTTTCTGGATTTGGCTATGGTTCGGACTTAGTTCCTAGATGTGGATTTCATGTAGATTTGAATCTCAGGATTGCTGCTATCGCTTTGTTTGGCTGAGATTTGGGATTCAGAATTGGTGATATGTTTGAAATTTGGGATTTGGATTTGAACTTGGATTTGGGTTTGGGTCTTGGATTTGGATTTGGACTTGGGATTTGGTTTCAATCTAACATGACTCCAACTTTGCAGTCTTGTTAAATTGAATCCAAATCTCAACCTCCAAATCCAAATCCCAAACCCAAATCCTACCCAAATCTCAAATCCAAATCTAAGATTCAAATCCAAGTCCCAAAACCCAAATCTATAACAAATCCAATCCATTTCATATTAATTTATAAGACTTGGGATTCTTTTCTCCCTTCTGAGACTTTATTTTACAAAGCCTCGTCATATTTGGGTAATTTAAGACCAAATCCAAACCCAAATCCAAATCCAAATCCCAGTCTAGAACAAACCCAAATCTGTTTGTACCAAATCCCAAGGCTTTGGGTTTGTTGCACCCCTAGGATTACCTCTGTAACCCGGAGTAAGAAAGTATCGAGTTTATAATGGTGTGAGTGTGAGGATTACGGTCAGCTTGACTGTGACACTCACACCCAAGCTCTCCATCCCCATCCACACCCACTTACAGCCGAAAGATGAAATTTGATTATTGACCATCTCACTTCTGGCTGTAGACTTCCACTTAATAGGCTAAAAACAGTCTAACGCAATGCTGGCAATGTTGGAAGATGCAGGATAAGACATCATTAGGCAGTTTTTACTCTATTAAGTGGATCTACGGCCAAAAGTGAGACGATAAATGATCAAATTTGATCTTTTGCATGCTAGTACATGTACAATTTCAGGGTCTCGAGTATGATCTCTCACAAGTAGAATTGATTGATTTTGTCTAATTTGAAGTCCATGGAAAAGAACGCTTTGTCGTACTACAATCAGCTCGTCGAGCTCTACAAACTGGTATACATGGGATTCAAAATGATGCGTCACACTTGGATACTTCCCTTGTTGACATTTCTGCTGAACACTAACCTTTCTAATCTATGCCTATCCGCATAACATATAGAGAGTTCAGTATTTGCCGCCCTAAAAAGAACTTGACCACCTAATATGAGAATAAAAATTATTTTTGTAACTTGTCACATGGTTTTTATTATTCGCACTTTAGTCAAAAAATGTTCATCTGTGAGATATACTAATAAAATATCTTACATTTTAATAGATGCTAAGCCTTTGTTCTAAATTCATTTGTAGTCGCATCGCTGGAAATTACAATTGCTAAATAAGATGGAACAATTAATAAGGTTACCATTTTCATCAATCACTGGTGCTCTCGAATATCAAGCTCAAACAAGACCAGAAAAGAATGCTATACTCTATCCTGATCCAAATACAAACTCAACAGAATATGCATCTCTTACGTACAAACAATATAAGAATATTACCGATCATCTAGCGATAAAAATTTCAAAATATTTACCACCTTCTTCATCATCGGAGGTAACAGTTACATGTGGTCTTTTGGCAGCTGATGATATAGGGCATCTATTATCTCAGTATGCATTATTAAAACTTCCCAATGTTATTATGTTTCCGATTGCAGTCGGAAATTCCCAAGCAGCAATAGAACATTTACTAAAAGAAACGAAGACAACTCTTTTACTGACAACATCTCGATATCTGCCAATGATTCAAATAATTCAAGAGCAACAAGAATTCCAATCCTTGAAAGTTCTACTTTTGGATAGTGATGAATTTAACATTGAACACTTATTACAGAAAAAAGATGTGGAATGTACCATCGTGTCAGATGTTATTCCAGTGAAGAAAAAGGATGATGAAGAATTTGATAAAATAGTCATAATTCTTCATAGGTAAGAGTTATTTATATTCTAGACACCAAAATAAAATGTGTTGCAATTATGTGTCGTTAGTAATTGTGTCGTGGACTTAAGCATAAAAATGTGTCGTATACGAATTTGTCGTGTTCTGTCTGCAGACTGTTCTTTCACCGTTTTCTTATACTCCTACAGCTATATATAAACAACACGATTGAACATACGAAACATACATTTTCAAAATAATTATTTTCTAACATATTTCTTGACTAGTTTTATGGTTGAGAACATGCCGATCAGAATCTTGAATCTAGAGAGGACTACTCCGAAGTGGTCTAATGAAGATCTGACCAACTAGAAACAGGACAGATTCCGAGATCTGATCCGCTTGAGTTTTCAAAATACGACTAATTAAATGAAATTAAATTGAGAAAACGTCCTATTTGTCTTTTACAAAAAATTGAAAAATGCTCTGGATGATAGGCTCGAACCACGCCTTCAGAATGGGCTACAGATGTCGTAAAAATGTGTCGTGGTCTTGCTGGAAACAAAGTGGCGCAGCGAGCACCTCGTGTCGTAGTTTAACATGTCGGGCATTGTGTCGTAAATCACCATACATGTGACACATTTTAACTTAGTGTGTGTTACCATTATTAGCTCAATATTCATGTGTCTATTTTTCACTATTTCATTTTTGTCTTCTAGTTCAGGAAGTACAGCTTATCCAAAACCAAATTATTTGACAAATCGTTATTTTTTAATTAACACTTTTGTGTATTCATCTATCAACAAAGACTTTTGGAAAGAAGACGATGCCATACTATTATGGGGAACATTGTAAGTTTGTGCTTTTTCTATCAAGTTCAACTAGCAGTTTCTTCAAACATAAACCGAGGAAGAAACAACGGGCTTCAACACTGCATAAGACTTCAAGAGATCACCAGTGGACGATATGACCCATCGATGGGGAAATCGTTCTCATTTTTCCAGAAATGGATCACCCCACATAATGTCATACTCACTAAGAAGAAATGGAAAAAAAATATATGTATCACTTAGTATTCTTAAAGGTATAATCCATTCAGTAAGCTAAAATTGGATATCTTTATTAGGGCTCGAGCAAACAGATTGATTTTTTTGCCACTAATGAAGAGATGTCTAACGAGGGAGCATTCTCAACTGTCACATCGCTTTTAAGTCGAGCAAATGCGCATTATGTAGATCCTAACGATCAATGAATTCTCTGAAAAAATTTCGTGCCGCTAGCCTTTTATTGCTGAGATACTGCCTTTTTACTGTATGTTTGAGAAAAGAGAGCTGTGGTCCCCTCAGGAACACTTGGAAAACTGAATTTTGAATTTCAATTTCAAACTTTGCATAGATATAGGGCTCAATGAGAATACTTTATTGTGAAAGTTTCAGCTTTTTTCGTTGCACCTATCCGAAGATACAATTATCATAAAATTGCTCATATACTCTAGCGGATCCGATGTTCTTATCTCAGACTAGGAACAACCAAAAAATCTGAAACATTCACAATAAACTGTTCTCATTGAGGTCTATATACATGCAAAGTTTCAGGCTGAAACTAAAAACTCACTTTTCCTGATGTTCCTGAGGGAGACCACGGGTTTTTCCGAAACATATAGTAAAAATGCTATATCTCAGCAGTAAGAAGCTAGCGACACGAACTTTTTTGGAAGGATTCATAGATCATTAGGACCTACATAATCCCCATACGGTCGACTCAAAATCGATGTGACACCTGGGAATGTTCCCTCGTAAGCTTTGTTTCCATAAAGACAAGCTTATAGAGATCCTTTGTTAAGTATCACTAGTGATCTCAACAAATAAAATTTAACTTATTCACAGATAGGAAAGAAACAATATGCAAGATGCTGCAAATGTCACTCAACCGGAAAAGAAATTGAATATCTTCCTTATGGCTCAAACGAATGAGCTGATCTTATAAGCAATGATTGAAGTATGCTCAAGCTTTATATACGTAAAGACATGTCTAGAGAGAACCTTTTTTATATAAATTGTTTTATTTATACCTGTGAAAAAGTTGAATTTTTTTTGGTTGAGATCACTAGTGATACTTAACAAAGGATCTCTATAAGCTTGTCTTTATGGAAACAAAGCTTGGACATCCCTTCATTAGTGGCAAAAAAACCAATTCGTTTGTTGGAGCCCTAATAAAGACATTCAATTTTTCTCCTTTACCTTACTTACGGGACACTATATATATATATGCAACGATGACTCACTGTTCTTTTATATATATTCCATTTTTCCTAGAAAATTTACCATTTCTGCTGTATAAAACCTATTTCATCTAGAAATTTTCTTAAGAGTGAAAAATAATCTTATTCATTGCTACTTACGTTATGTAAAAATTTTATGCAGTTCTCCTTGTTCATTATAGATTTCTGTTAGGAAAAAGAGAAAGGCTTCACGCATTTCTACTAGAAACCTTTCCATTACTGCTATATCTTGCTTTGTTTTCCTGTATAAAAGCGTTTCTGCTTGATTTTCTCTAGGGTGAACGATTTCTGCTAAAATGGGAACAATTTTTCGATTTAGGGGGATATCGTCGAGCTCTCCAAGAGACTAGATGGGATTTCACAGGACTTCATAAGACTTCGTGAAATTTTGCTAGATATTCAAAACTATGACGTGAAGACAACTATTCTTTGCAGACTATTGCAATTGCGTTGGCAGCGTGGCAGCTTTTTTTGGAATAGATCACCAAACTGTATGAATTTGCACAGACCTTCAGTATTCACAAATATAATACTTTGAAACTGAGTGAGTTTCAAGGATTAGTATCAATAGTCGTAGTTAAATATAGTCACAGCAGTAAAATTCGAGACATTTTGTAAAAATACCATTGCGACGGCGGTGTGGCAGTGGCAATTTTTTTATGTAAATCATTATGACGTGGCAGCGACGTGAAAGATTCTCAGTCGCGATAGAGCCTGTGCTCCAAGACTTTCGAAGGCTTCAAGAGACTTCCGTTTTGAAGTTTCTTCTCTTCTCGTCTCTTTTGACTAATTCTAAAAACTCAAATTCATAGAGCGACAAGAGGATTTTTTCTTTCACTAGTAGTATCAGTGAAGTAGTACTGATTCGAAAGTGCATTGTGTGTACTTCACTTTTTTGGTTCTTTCAATTCTCTTTTAGGTATCATTTAATGGCTTTCTATTATGCAACATGTGCTTTTCGAATAGGATGCACATATGCACTACCGCTATGTGTTACATTTCCACCAAAGCCGAATGAATTGCTGCACAATGTACAAGTGAAAAATGACATTACTGTCCTAATTACAGTACCAAGTTTGCTTGAACAACTCATACAAGAGTTACTTTCTGAAAAAAATAATAATGTTGGCTTGAAACCATTGCAAAAATTGAGATTTGTTATGTATGGTGGAGCTAGTTGTCCGGATGAATTGTGTAAAATATTAGTTGATAATGGAGTGGTGTTGTTAAGTTTTTACGGTGCCACAGGTCAGTAAATTATCATTTTTTTAGCATTACCTAAGCTTACGATTTATTCCGTCCCTTTTTTGGATCAGATTAATTTATTCAAATTTATCAATTTTGACATTTATAGCTCGTTAGATCAGGTTAATTATCTAATATAGAATGCGGTACGATTTATTGATTTAATGAAGTGCTTCAAGAATATTATAAAGAATTTTCCTGAATCCTCATATTTCAGAAAGTGTTTTCTTTTTAAATGAATAATTTTCGTTGGTATTCTGGCGGGCATAATATATCTATAGAAAATTAAGAAAAAATTCTCTCATTTGCCTTTATATTCGTTCATTTCATTCGTTCTAATTGGTGGTCTATGACAATTTACTCGATGATCCTTCTTATATCAGTTTATGGAAAAAAAGACTAGAACTACAATGTCAAAACTCCTTTGCGCTTTTCTCACAATAGCATTATTCGTTTTGGCGATTTTGTGCCGTTCTAGATTTCCTCACCACTTTAAATGATAGAAAGCTAAACTTGGTCTCAGGATAAAGGAAAAAGTTACCTCTACAACTTCACAGATTCGGATTTTTGAATTTTTCGTTGTATATCTAACAAATGTCAAAACTTTTACTGTCAGATGCATACCTCAGCATACATCTTCTTCGAAAATTTCATTAAAACTGGATAATCAACAACAAAAAAATTGCGTAGATTGGGCATTAAATAGATCTCTATTAATAATTATTCTTTTACCTACTTATCTTGATTCTAGAAAGCGGTACCATTCTTGGAAAAAACTTCAATCCGTATGATAAAAGATGGAAATATATGCAAATGCCTGATATTCGAAAACCTTATTTTCGTATTGAAACACCTTCAAATACACAAAATCCAAATGAGAAAATTATAGTTCATTTACCAAATGATCCATTTGTAGCAGAAAACGTTTCTAATTCTTCTGCTGGTTGCTATACTATGGGTGATATACTTATGGAAGATCCACCCAATTCTGGACAGTATCTAATATTAGGACGTCAAGATGATACATTAATTCATATCAATGGTAAAAAGACAAATCCAATTCCAATGGAAGAGACAATTCGATGTTCGCCTCTTGTTAAACAGATAGCTATTATAGGTCATAATCAATTTTGTACAGCTGCTTTAATTGAATTGAATGCTGAAGAAGTATCGAATTATGAATTCAATGAAATAGAAGAAAAGATATGGGAAGTTGTAGAACAAGCTAATAAAAAAGCACCATCTCATTCACATCTTGTTCGAAAACTTGTTAAAATTTTACCAATGAACAAAACTTTACCTATTACACATAAAGGTAATTTAATGAGACAAAGAGTAAATCAAGAATATTCAACATTGATTACAAAAATGTATGACGAATTTTTAAATCAACCACGAAATATAACTACAAATAAAAAGGAGCAATCAATATGGACAAGAGAAACAATAACAAAGTGTTTAGAAGATAAGCTAAAATCAGTTGTACAGACATCTGATACAATAAAAGTAAATAATTCTTCACGATCAATCTTTGATTTTGGTGTTAATTCTTTACAAATTATTGAACTAAGAAATTTCATTTGTCAAAATATTTGTCAAATACCAAAGAATTTTCTTTATGAATATTCTTCAATCGATCAAATGACTGAACATTTAATCAGATATCTACAACCTGAAAGCCTTGCAACTCATACTGATCAACTATCTGATCCATATCATTACAAATTAACTGAGCAAATTATTGATAAATATATTGATTTAATGAAACAATCTTCAACAAAAGCAACTGAAACAAGAAAAAACCAACAATCAGAACGTGTCTTTATTGTTACTGGTGCCAATGGTTCGTTAGGGAATTTTATAACTCGAGATCTACTTAAAGAGCCAGCATTAGTTGTGAAACGTGTCTATTGCCTTCTACGTGGCTCGGATACAAAACAACGTCTCTTTGAATCATTTGCACAACGACAAATAAAAACTTCTATTTTAACACAATCACAAGAACAACGTCTTGTTGTTTTGCCCTTATCAACGAATTTAAGTGAAGAAAATTTAGGTCAAACTGATGATATCTATCAAGAATTACAAAATGAAGTAACAGATATTATTCATTCAGCATGGAAAATGGATTTTAACCAAACCGTAAAAGATTTTGAATACGATTCAATTTTTTCAGTTTATAATCTTTTAAAATTAGCGACTTTGAACAATATGCAATTTCATTTTATTTCAAGTATTGTATCAGCTGGTTCTGGTCTATTGACTATTGTTAAAGAAGAACCATTACCGAGAAACGCAGAGGTTGCATTAGCACAAGGATATGGACAAAGTAAATATGCAAGTGAACATTTATGTTGGGCAGCGATGAATCTATGGAGTAAGTTTTAAAAGTGTTTCAAAATACAAACATTAACTTAGACATATTCCAATATTTATTTTCTTTAGACATACCAGTCAACATTTATCGTATTGGTCAAATAAGTGGTGATACCCAGAATGGTGTTTGGGATATAACTGAGATGATTCCGATGATGATATATGCTGGTGCTGGACAGTTGAAGAAAATGCCGAATATTGGAGAAGACGTTAACTGGATACCTGTTGATGTTTGTAGCGCTTCACTAGTTGAATTAGCTTTGAAATCCTCTTTTGATATTTCAACGCCGATAAACGAACGTGTATATCATCTCCTTAATCCGCATGTTACTACATATGAAGATTATCTAAATTCACTTCGAGCAGGGGGTTTAAATTACGACACTGTCTCTCTCGAAACATTCATTAACACGATCTTAGCAGCTACAGACGTAACAAATCCACTTGTTAAATTAGCTTCATATTTTGAACAATCGTTTAGCAAGAAAGAGACATTAAAATTACCAAAATATGAAATAGTGAAAACAGTTGAGCGATGTAAAATTTTAGAAAGTTGTCCACCAATTGATTCAAATTTAATTAACTTATATTTAAATTATTGGAAACAATGCCAGGTACTAAAAACATGATAGTAAACTTCATATATGGATTTGAGATTTTACTTTGATTTTAATAAACTTTTCTTGTTCATTGAATTATACTTAAACTCAGTTATATACCAAAAGAAAAAGACGTAGATTTTCTAAGAGAAAACTTTTAGAGAGAAATAAACTCTTCGCTCTTACCCAGGAAAAAATTAGAAAAAAAAACTATTTAAGCTAAATCTAACGTTGTCGGGTGTGGGTGTGTGGGTGTAGGTATGGGTGTGGGTGTGTGGGTGTAGGTATGGGTGTGGGTGTGTGGGTGTAGGTATGGGTGTGGGTGTGT